ACTGGTACTGGCAGAATCAGATATGCAGGGCCTGCAGGGGTTTCTTTGATGAGATGCACTGATGAGTTGTTGGTGACTGAATTGTTCCTTTCTCAGGTTTCCAAGCTGGAAGGTGGCTTGCCAAGCTTCAAGTACATGTACCTACTCCCAGGGGACATTGTGTTTCTTGGATACAATTGTAAATGTTTGTGCAGTGCAAGCTGTTGGGAAATCCTTGTGAAATTCAATTGTCGTGTCAGATCAGGTCAAGTGACCGTGACAATTCATTTTCAGTGCAGTACTTGCTGGCCTTCTGAAATAGCCTCCTGAAATCCAGGTATATACCGAATGCCTATTGCTTGATTGAGAAGTGCATGAACGCTGATACCGTCTCTTTCCGTTTTCCATCCATGCTGGTCTTTGGGCATGAAGCAGATGAGCTGGATCTCATCGACCAGTATGTTCCTGTGAGACTTGGTCTTGGTATTGGTAAGGTTTAGCGAAAAAGAAGAATGATGCAGTGATGTGAAGGTTCGTCTTTAGATTCTAGGAACTCTAGACTCGGACTCGGACCTAGCGTTTGGATTTCCATGCCATCACCGTCACCACGAGTTCATGAGACCACCAAGAAACAGTACTGACAGTCAGTATACAGTACTGTAACTATTGATTTTGAAGCAGCCTTGTTTTGGGTACGACGCCGTGACGCCCAGGATTTCCATTCAGACGGGTTGGCAGCAGATTCTCAAAGGCATGAAGGCATCAGGGGATCGCCAAGAACTTCAATTCGCTCCCCTGGAACCGAAGTTTGTGCCGTCTTTTTCAGATTCAGAAGAGGTTGATGATGCAGCTGAAGAAGATGGCAAGAAGCGTGAGTCCCAATCCCAGGATGACACAGCCCATGCAGCAAAGCGAGTGAAAGGGGAAAAACCTACTTCCATGCAGGACCAATCCAGCGAAGTGAAGGGAGAGCAGGATGAAGTTGAAGAAGTAGAGCCAACCTTTGAGCAAGCCTTGGAGGCAGAGGTGGAACACTTTCTGCAGAAAGGAGATGAGGAGGCAGCGCTGTCAGGGTCGCCATCCTTTGTTTCGGACAATGAGGAAGTGAAGGAAATGAGGCCCACCATGAAAGTTGTTCTCTTGAGAGGCAAAGGTTTGGTCTCCTTGGAGAATGTTGTCCAGTATGCTTTGTACAAGGCTGGTTTGTACAAGTACTATGTGGATCGATGCGTGAGGAAAACTCTGGAGGCACTTGACTTCGAGGAACTGACAGCATTGATCGAGCAAGCCAAGAAGCATTCTCAGCTCATGTCGTTCATGAAACAGACGCACCAGCGTGAAGATGTCCCCGACGACTGGATTCATTGCTTTGGCTCTGCACAAGAGACTGCTGGTGACGAGCTTCGTTTTTTTGTGGTGTGGCTTGCCTATGATTCGCTGGAAGCCATGGATGGCAAGGATTCCATGGATGCTGAAGCTGCTTTGGAAAAGGCAGGGGCCCCTTCAGGCCCTTCAGGCCCTGAAGTTTCAGAAGCAGCCACTGTTGAGGGACCCAATGAGCCAAAGGAGTCGATTGAGAAGTCAGAAGTTGCCAAGGATGGCAAGAATTCCACGGGTGCTGAAGCTGCTTTGGAAAAGGCAGGGGCCGCTTCAGGCCCTTCAGGCCCTGAAGTTTCAGAAGCAGCCACTGTTGAGGGACCGATTGAGCCAAAGGAGTCGAAGGAGAAGTCAGAAGTTGCACATGATCCTGAACTTACAGTTCTTGCACAACCAGATGCGCCAAAGGAAACATGTGCCGGGGCAAGTACCGTTGAGGTTCAGGCTGACGCCTCACCTTCGGCCGCAGCTTCCCTTGAGAAGGAAACACGCAAATGTTCAGAAGTACAGGGTGATGTTGCTCCAAAGGAGCCAGTCAATCCGAAGAAGATGGAAAAGGAAGAGGCGGGTGAAAAGACAGAGGGCGCTGGCGCGGGCCGCGCGCATTTGGAGAACAAAGACAAAGGCAATGACAAGGACGCGCATGCAATTGGCTTGTGCAATGGCCAATGGTCACAATGTCAATGAGATGATTTGCAGCTAGTTTTCCAGTCAGATTCATTTTTCAGGCCTGACAACTTGACATTGAAATTGACATTGACATATATTTGCAGTTTAAAGTTTGCAGATAGATTTATACAGTAATAATACAGCCAACATTTTCCACTTTACAATCCGGTTATTTTTTCCTTAGCTCCTTTTCACTGCTGTTATTGAAATTCAAGATGGCAAGGACGATGAGATGCGCAAGCAGCAGCAGCAAGTGACCAAACCAGCTGATGCCAAGGCAGGACCAAACAGTTCACTTCAGACTTCAGACTGACTGACTGACTGACTGTTTACATTTTTGGCCACAAGGGGGCAATGATTGGGATTGCGAAATGTATGAAACGAGTTTAATTGCAATCCATTTTGGATACGCTAAACTGGGTATAGACTGCCTAGGCTGCGCTTGATGTCCCAGTCCCAGCTTCAGAAAAGCAAATAGATGATGCGCAGCGGCAGCAACCAGCTTCAGAGGACAGCAAGCCGAGCCGTAAATGGAAATTGTGGTGGTTGCTGCTGCTTCTGTCCATCATCTTGCTCTATATTTGCATTGGACGTTTTTCAAAACAGGAATCATGAATCACGACTCACCTCACGACTCAAAATTTATTGGCCCCTTTTCTTCTGGCCATGACAGCCATGGTTAAGAGTCAGCAAAGAAGGTTGAACATGACAAAGTTGCATCACAGGGTTACACTTTCCAGGATGGTTGATTTACTGACATGTCTTGTGTGCATTGGCGCTGCCAAGATGTTTTCCCTACATGTCACTTGTGATCCCAGTGCAGCCAGCGCAGCAACCGAAGGACATGGCAGAAGGGGCTTCTGCCAAAAGAGAATGGGCGTGGCGAAGCAGATCTTCACCTTCGCCTTCGCCTTCCCCCCACCACCCATCTATGGGGCCTCCGCCTGTACCTCCAAAAGCGAAAAAGAAGAAGGAGTGAGTGACCCGCTGGGCTGCCAGATCTTAGTCTGTTGCATTGGCCTCACCTGTACATTCAGCTGTTTTCCAATTTCCAAGACATTCTTTGTTCTTTGTCATCCCATCCCTTTCGACAGGAGCAAGAGATTGAAGCTGACCAGCAGGTTTTGTCTGCGTTTTGGTCAGCACAGCAGCCCCAGCAGCTGCCGATGTCAAGGAATGCAGCACTGTCAGGCAAGATATTGCAGACAGAGTCCCGAGTTCTGACAAGCTAAACTATAGGTCTGTAGGTCTGTAGGTCTGTAGGTCTGTAGGTTGACAGAGTTCCAAACTGCGAGCCGATGAGTGCAACCAGCACACTGAACTTTTGCTTGGTTTGTTGACACCTTCTTGGCCATGGAAGGCGCTACTCCCAAGATCAAGGGGGCTCCCAAGACCAACAGCTAAGTGACTTGGGGCGGCCGGGCAGTCAACTTTTGAATGCATGAGACTGGAACTTCCAGCCTGGAAGTAGGTTGAACTTGAACTGTTGAACTTCATCATTGCGCCACTAGTTGGCAAATATTTTGCACATGCATCATCATGAAGTTGGAAAAACATTTCGTGCCATTGGCCAGTGTCGCAGTTCTCTCAATCCATGTCACACTGGTGGCAATTTCCTTTTTCAGCTGGGCCGAGCCGAGCCACCAAAAGAAACAGCAGTAATGAATGATCAATATGACTGGTTGATTGCCAGGATCACCTGGCATTAAAGAAGCACTTTATGCATTGAAACCAGCAACATTGTGTTGTCATGTTGGAAAAGGTGATCGGCCAGTGGCCAGGGCCTGGACCCGGGAAATGAATCCTATGAAAAACGTTGGCGAAGTTTCTTCATTTAACATAGACCCTGAACTTCTGAACCTTAGAAGCGTTTGCCATGTTGAGAAAAATGTGTGTTCCAACTCCAACACGATTTTAACTTGGCAGTACTTGGCAGTCAGAGTCAGGGTCTATTTTATTGGCAGATAGCAGAGGGCCGAGGAAATGTAGGTTGGTGCTGCAAGCAGTATATGACTTAATGCAGCCACTGCGCACTTTACAGAACCCCCACTGTTTTGAAAGGGCCAGTGATGGCCAGGTGCAATAGAATTCTGGACGATTGCTGCATGCAGTTTCCCTCCTCAGACTGCCAAGCGAGACATCGCATCGAATCAAGGGCAATTGAAAAAATGAGTCTGAGTCTGTTTGGATTCGAATCCTTTTTGACTCATGCAATTTTCAGTGAACATGTGGTCAGCCAGTCAGCCAAATTTTTGACACACAACACAAACAATGATTCAGTGATTCGGTGGAGGTATAAACTTGATGCGGCCAGGCCTGGCCAGGCTGGGTTGCAGTCTGCAGGTGCAGCTCATCAAATGCGTTCAAGTCAGGAAAAAGGTCAGAGTGTCAGCTGTCAGACACACAGTTCTTGTACAAGTGAACAAACTGAGAATTTCTAGGATTGGGATCTTTGCCGCACTGCAAGCTGCACTGCAGGCCACTTCTTGTTCTGCTTCAATTCTACAGTTCGTTGGCAAAGGCGTCGGACCAATTGATTGCAATTCAATCCACTAATCCATTGGTGCCATTGCCATTCACCATGTGTGACGATGACCGTGAACACTTTCTTTGCAGGAATATACAGTGTATATACAGCTATTGATTAATTCTCAAATTTCCATTTGACATTTGATGCCTGCGCCTCGCCGTAGTTGGCATTTTGCCAGTCCCTGTAGGGGTGCAGGGTTGCAACTAAAGTCATAGTTTATATTTATGTCCAAGTCTAATTTCACCTGTATGATTTGGATTTCAAACAAATTCACATTGCGTGAATTGTGTGTGAAAAAGAAACCACTGCCAGACTGTCAGGCTTCCACATTTTTCTCGCTAGAGACTAGAGACAAGCTTGCAGAACTGCAGCACTCATGCACTAATGATTTCATGCGATAGTTCCAAGAACAGAGTTCCAGTTTTTTGCTTCATCTTACGATGCCATGGGGAAAAGGCGGCAGCCTTCGTCTTCTGTTGCTGATCAAAAAAAAGGTCTGCAAGCAGATTCGGAAGGCTCTGGCTCAGATGATACTTTGTCGTCTGATGATCCCAGCCAAACCTCTGAACCTGAAGGCCCTGAACCTGAAGGCCATGTAGAATCAGAGGATGCCTTGACTCAAGTTCAACAAGGCATCGGCGGCGTCAGTGATAGCAGGTGCATGGAGGAAAAGCAATCAGACATAGACCAGGCTGGGAAAGAGCGAAGTGCAGATTCAGACAGCAATGGCAAAGCAGACGAGGTTTCCAGGGAACTCCACAGCAAAATACGCCAGTTGGCTGCAGCTGAATCTTGGCCAAATGGGCCAGACAGCCCGCATGGGTTGTTTTTGTGGCCAGAGTGGAATTCAGCCCGACTTCTTGATGTATCTTCGATGAACCTCAAGAAGGAACGTGTGGAGAGGCTCCTGTACCTTTTATCATTAGATATCGAAATACACGAATGCTATGCTGGAACCGGCAATGGTGCCGTCACCCTTCACCGCCAACTTGACGCACTGCGGATGGAGTGCCAGAAGCATGCAGTCTCATGTGTCTTGTTTCAACATCTGGATCAGGATGCAACCCAGTCACTCAAGTGATTCGTTGTGAGACAAATAAGGGGCGAGGGCCAGGGGGGGTTCTATAAGCAATGTGAGATAGTAGTTGTTGGCTTATGGTTTTTAACTTTCAAACCAAAAAGGCAGAGTCCATCAGCCCAGTACTCTTGAAGTCCAGTGCACTCGGCTTTGCACTTTGTTTTGTCCTAAGGTGGGCTGTCCATACCGACTTTTGGCAAAGTGGTGACAGCCACAAGCTGCGATATTGATCCAATTTCCAGAAGCGTTTTGAAGAGCTTGCCAGAGGCCAGAGCAAGGGTCAAGCTGTCAAGGCGTCAAGCCAGTCAACATGTCCAAATGTGGTGGGGTTGAACTGTTGAAAGGGCTTTTAGGAAGAGAATCGCACATCTGACGCTCTGAAACTTGGGTTGACTTGACTTGGGCATCTTGTTTCAAAACGCCAGGATTGTCGACCTCAATGTGTCCAAGGCAGCCTTATGGATCGCATCAGTCCAAAAGCCAGGCTGGGCCAGATCTTGCTACAGTCTTGGTAACATGTTCCAGACTGCAACCAATGAGAATAGACCGGAAGTTGTTAGTGTCTGCATCATCAAGTCATCAGTGACCGTGCCAAGTTTTTCCCAGTTTCCCAGGCAGGGTCTTGCAAAGATCAGAGAAAACGTTTCTTATGAGATGGACCTTGTTCTGAGCACGGCGGCCCAGCCTTTCTATGCCACCAGCAGTCTTCACAAGCTGTGACCTGTACTGTTTTGTTGATCCACAGGCCACAGGCTATGATTAGATTAGATCCTGAATTGCCTTCTGCATTGAAGGTTGTCTCTCCCACTCATGTGCTAGCACACTTGGCTTCAGCTTCTCGCTTTCACATCAGTTTAATTTCTTGAGGTGGGATGGATGACAAACAGAAGCCAGAGGTGAAAAAGATATATGGAGACAAACTGTTTCAGAAGTACGTTGACTACTTGTGCAAGGAAGCAGGGTTCCAGACGTTGCACTGGGGACTGGGGACCAGACTTGGCTACATGTGGTCATGGTGGCAAGTAAAACTTGCACAGTTTGCATTTTTTTCATTTTTAATGAGTGAATATATGCTGCATCATGCGGGATGGCAGTGTTGCAAGCGGTTTTTCATTGGCGCCACAACCACGAGCCAGGACAGCAGTGTGTTCTTGAGCTATGTCCCGTGCTACAGCCACATGGTTCCTGATGACGATGAATGCTTGACGGCTTCGCTTCCAGATGCTGGCACTGGCAAGAGACAAAAGGTCAAGGTCAATGCGAAGATGAAGGCAAAACTGAAACCTGGAAATTGCCTATCGCCAGTGGGATTCTTGGCAAGATTGGTAAGAGAGCTGACAGGAATAACTTGAACAGAGGCCAATTCAGAGCACAAGTAATCCGAATATCGCACATGTCAACTTCAAACCTCCCAACTCTTTTCACAAGTGGCTCTGGAGAATGTGGTTTGTGACACATGGGCCTTTGCTCTGCTCGCTTCGAGGAAGAGCCAGGCAACTAAAGTTGCTCAAGGGCAACATCAGACTGGGAGCGCAGCCTGAGCGCAGAGAAGAGCCTTTGGGCATGGGCAGCCACATCCTCCGAGTTGGGGTGGCAGGTTCAACCTGCAAGGACATATCCACATTTGGATGCTTGGTGCATGTGTACGTCAAGACTTTTGTTTGGAGTCTTGATTTGGCTGGTAGGCCCTGTAGTCTGAGCATGGCATGAATATGCATGGGCATTTGGCATGTGTTATCAGTGCCAAGAGTTTCTAGGGCATGCTTTGGTGTGGGGCCGTGGGCCGTGGGGCTTACTTTATTTATCCCTGCAGCAGCCCGCCCATACTGAGGAGCAAAGAAAGGGCACTGGGGCGATTCTGGCGAAGTGCTTGCTGTGTGGTTCAGTGAGCGGTATTGGGCCATGGATGCAGCTAGGCGGCAGGTTGTGGCAGGAGCTGACATTTTGCATCATGGTTGTGCTTTGCTTCATCTTTCATCTTCCGCTTTAAGTCTATTGATTCATTTTCCAGCTTGGGCTTGAACTACTAGCTGCCCTTCTGACTCCGATTCACGGCCTTGTCACTTGTCTCTCTCAGGATTGGATTGCCCATGAATGCACATCATTGTTTGCGCGCAACTTGTTTCCATCGATTCTTGGAGATTGGGATTGGCGCTGGCCGACATCTTCAGGAGAATCTCCAGAGCCAATGGATCTCACGCCAGCGCAATTCGGATGGCCAGCAAGCAGAGGGCGCTGTTACACGGTTCTCTGTCAGCAAATGCAGCATTATTTATGATTGTAATTGTGGTTGAGTTGAGTTGAGTTATACATAAAATATATTCAATATAATTCTATATAATCTGAATATATATATATATATTTAGCATTAAACCAGATTATATATATATATTATTTATATAATATAATAGATTTACAATATATATTCAATAAATATATGATATAATATATATATATAAATATGTTCAATGTAATAAGTAAATAAATCAATAAATAAATAAATAGACAAATGACCAAATAAATATATATATATATAAATTTAATTGAATGTAAATATATATATATATGAAATAGATGTAAAATACAAAATCTATACAATATATAACACATATGATATGGAATAAATAAATATCTTATATTCGCATATTGTTTTTTTACCAAATATCTTTACTGTATATAAATAATATTTAATATATGCTATATATTTACGTGGTAAAATATATTATCTATATTTCTTGTAAAATATAGTATAATATAGTATAATACAAGATAATATAGTATAATATAGTATAATACGATATAATATGATATAATATAATATAATATAATTATATTATAATATAATATAATATAATATACCCTAAATCTATATATCATATGTATATTTAATCCCTAATGGGGTCACCGTGCTGAAATGGCTTACCAAGGGTCCAAAACCTGCAGTTTTCACGGGTTTAGGGTCAAAACCTGCGCTGAAATGGCTTACCAAGGGTCCAAAACCTGCAGTTTTCAAGGGTTTAGGGTCAAAACCTGCGGTTTTAGGGTCCAAAACCTGCATTTCTCAAGGGTTTCGGGTCAAAACCCTTCGTTTTAGCTGCTAAATCCATCCTTTTGGAAAGTTTTCGGGTCCAATCCATCCTTTTGGAAAGTTTTCGGGTCCAAAACCTGCATTTTTCCAGGGTGTCGGGTCAAAACCCTTGGTTTTGGCTGCTAGATCCCTCATAAATGCATCCTATGGGAAGGACAGCCGACGGCTCTCCCGGTCTTCGGTTCACCAAACCTGGCAAACCAGGGCGACCAGCCTCCTCTCAACGAGGATGCTGCCGGGGTGCCCCAAACCCCGGCCCCCGTCTTGTGCAGGGAGGGGTTGTCGCGTCGGTCCCCCACCGACGGACAAAGTTCAGGAGATAGGCCTGGCAGAAAAGGCGGAAAAAAACGATGACAGAACAGTTACATACAATGGAACAAGATCTTCGTGAAACAGGTCAGAACCTCAGAGGCAGCTATGCAGGCTGAGACGGCTGCGAACTTGAGCACACAGACAGAATGCAACGTTGCGAACCCCTTTCCAACTGAATCCGTGACGCAGAATGCAACGTTTCGAACTCCTTTCCACATCGATCCGTGCATTTGAGGCTGCTCGTTTCTCTGCATGCAGCATGGCATGTATCAACAATTCCAGATGTTTTTTGCCTCTGCGGTCCATGTCTCACGTGGGGTACAGCGGGGCTGCGCCATTGACCTTGAATCTGCATGCTAGGTGATGCCGCAGCCGCTGTGCTGTCTGTCTCCATGCTTTCCCTGCCCTCAGGTGAACAAGCCAGCGGTATCTGCAGCAACAATAGGGCTGCCGTGGCAGGCGTCCACCTCACTCTCACTCCTGGAGGCTTCCTCTTGGTCTGATTCATCTCTGTCCATGTCTTCGGGGTCGCCTTGGCTTGTCTCGTCCATGTCCATGTCTTCTGGCTCATCCTCGCTCTCTGGTGACTGGCTCATGGAAGGGTCTGACCTGCTGGTGGGTTCTTCCGATTCCGGCTGCTCACTGTCCGACATGCTGCGGATGGTCAACTCGGAAGTTCCCAGGCCACGATCATCTTCCCCGACCGGTCGCCAATCTGTTCGGCGGATGCTGCCGATGTGGTAGACATCCACACGGCGCCGCGCGCGCGACACGGCCACGTAGGCGTAGCCGTTGTCTGCGAGCTTGCGGTCGAAGCGGATTCCAATCAACTCCAGTGTGGCGCCTTGTGCTCGGCGAATGGTGGTGGCGTACCCGTAGGTGACTGGCATAAATTGACGGCCCTTCTGCCAGATGGGGTGCACCAAGAGCAAGATGTTGCTGTTGGTTTTGAGCACGAAGACATCTTTGCGCAGGACGCTCTGGATGGTCCCGACGGCGCCGTTGACGAAGCCCCGGTCTTTGTCCAGATTCTGCGTCAAGCGGACCCGCATCCCAGCTTCGAACCACAGCTGTTCCTCGCCGTAGGCGGGGTCGCCTGGCAGCCCTTTGCCCGCCGCCAGCATTGCGGCGGCGCCGGGGAAAGCTTGCTCGACCCATGCGCGGTTCAGTGCTGCTGCGCCTTTGTTGGTCACGGTGAGGAAGGTAAAGGTCTTCCCGGTGCTTTCTTCCAGTAGCCTGGCCTTTCTCACTGCCTGGTCCACGTCCTTGCTCCAAACTCGGTTCTCGAAGAAGCCTTCCAAGGTGGTTCGCGACGGCTGCCGCGTTCGGCTGTGCGCAGGAAGGCTAGCATGTCTGGGTCAGATGACCGGGCGGCAGCATGTTGCTGGAGCTGGATCTGTTGCACTGCACCAGCCGCGGCTTGAGCTTCCAAGTCCCGCTGCAGCTGGTGCACACCGTGGATGGGTTGGAGCTGCTGGAAGTCACCGACGAAGACGATGTAGGGCAGCGCGTGGAGTTCTCGGAACGCCACCTGCAATTGCTTCCACACCTCTCCGTCAATCTGCGAGACCTCGTCGAAGATGATCAGATCGAAGTGGCGAAGCCTGCCGGGGGGGATGTATTGTTTATCTCTGTCCCTGGTAATCTTGAAGGCGGAATGCACTGTCTCCACCGTGATGTCCAAGTCTGGCGGGATTCGCTGCCGGTGGGAAGTCACCAGCAATCCAATGGGCCCGAGGAGCAACACTTTGCAACCAGCTGTGGCAGCTTGGATTGCCGCTTCCAAAATCACTTCTGTCTTGCCGGCGCCCGGGCCTCCGGAGACTTGCAGCAGCCGGCCGGCGACGCGGACGTCGTTAGCGTCCACGACGGCAGTTCCCGCTTCCACGGCGTCCAGGACTGCTTGTTGTTGCGGGGACCACAGCCGCCTGGGGCGTTCGAAGATGCGGCGGGCGCTCCAAGCTGCTGGGTCTGCTTCGTTGCGCCGCACGGCCTCCAGAAGCAATGCGCAACTCAGAATGCGTGCGTTGAAGGTCCTGATGCGGGGCTCCTTCAAACCACGGAGCTTCAGTTCCGGCACGATTGCTTCCAGGAGCTGTGTGGGGTCGTTTCCGAAATACCTTTCCATGATGTGGCTGAGGTGTTGACAGTTCTCTGGCACTGCGTCAGGCTGCGGGTGCACCAAGTCCTTTTCTTCGGCGCCTTGTAGGAAGGTTGCGGCCCACTGCCCCACGAAGATATCCAAAAGCTCGAAGGCGAAGGATACTCCAACGGCGCATTTCTTTCCACGTCCTGGACCTGCGCGGGCCAGCCGGTTGTCGTCGGTGACTAGCATGCACTTTGCATTACACAGGGGGCACCTACCAGGACGAATTGCATCGACAGAGGGTATGTGTCTGGGCCTATATACTAAGGGCCTATATACTAAGAAATTTACTTTGTGTTTTCTATTATCTTCTCACTCTAAACTGCGTCTCTACCGTTTGCCACACCTTTCCCAAGGCCATGCCTGCCAAGTTGCGCTGCTTAACCTCGTAGGTAAAGAGCACCGGAAGGTCACCACCTGCAGCTGGATCTTGTTGCACCAATGCCTTGCTCTTCACTTGCCAGCCGCGGAACCACTCCAGGAAACTCTTCGGCGCACCTCTTGACGGCGCATCGTCTCTTGAAGCCTCTTCCCCTGATAATTCAACACATTCGTCCTCTTCCGGGGTTTCCTCCTCGGCTTCCTCCTGCTTCTCCCTGATGATGTACACGGACGGGTGCTTCTTCTGGAGGCACTGCTGGAAGGCAAGGTACGCGTGCCGTGAGTTGTTGACGGCGGGGCTTCCGGGGACTGGGGCATAACAATGATCACCTGTGAAAGACGCCTTGACCAGAGGAAGGCAGGCAAACTCCATGCTGATTTCTTGCTCTAGCGGCTGCCTCTTGCATAACATGCGGTAGATCTGAGCCCAATGGCTTTGTTCTGTTTGGCTGCCTTGCTCTTGTGCTTCACAGCGGTGGAAATGCAGCGCGTCTGAAGCCTTGGTTGTGTATCCGACAACATATTGCAGTAGGAGGTGGTGTGTCTCGGTCCTAGTGCACTTGACATCGACGGCACCACACCGAAAGGTGTTCTCGAGGAATGCCACGAAGGGCGACTTCAGCCCTGGCTTACCGCTGGTTCCAGTCAGTAAGTCCACATTCTGCCCATCCAAATATTTCACCCATGCAAGGACGTGCACATGAAGCGTACCTCGGCTTTGGAATTCAAACCGGTACACGAACTCGATCACCTTCTCAATGCCGCACTCTGTCAAGTTGGCGCCCTTCTTCCCCTTCTTCAGCAAGGCATGCTCCAGGACGGCCGACAAGCAGTTGTGCAAATGCGCGGTGAGCGATGCTTGATGGGCACTCAACTCTTCTGCCTCCGCAGCGGCTTGTAACATGCCGTAGTGGTGGGGAAAGGCCCATTCTGCTGGCGCGATGGTGAAGAACAAGTTGGGGAAGGCATCCATCTGTCGGCACATATCCTCCAAACGCTGCGTTTGCTGCAGCCAATAGGCTTCGAAGTTGTTCATCCCTGAAGCCATTTCATCGGGGGCCACGCGCTTGGAGGCGGCAACTGCTGCAACCTGGCTAAGCTGTTTGGCCAAAGCCACGTCATGCATGTAGCTCACCAAGGGGAAATCGTTCTGGTAGTCCATGCACCGGCTGCGAAGCTTCCGGTGGAAGCTGGTTCGCAGGCTTGGCTTGGAACCGGCCGGCAGCAGGCCAAGGGCATCGAGGCGGCTGGCAATGTCCGTGTTTGCGAAGGAGGCCCGCGGGTATAGCCACGGTCTGGCGGCCACTTCCAAGCCCGGCGAATGCAGCAGGAGTTCAGCTGTGCGGATGTAGCGCCACGAGTTGTCTGCGGACGTCGCTGCGGCAAGCAAAGCTTTGTGATGCAGCACCCATTTCTTGTAGGTCTCGTTGTTCGTCATCAACCAGGCAAACGCTCGCCGCTCCCCGTCTGACGCCAACGCCGCCTCCACATCGCTGGCTTTCCAAATTCCTCGAACCAGGGATTGCTTCTGCTTGCTGGTGATCGATGCCCTGCCGCCTCTTCGTGTTGTGTAGTTGACCTTCAGCTCCAAGGGTGCCAGCGCGGCCCAGTCAATCTGTGGCAGGACGGTGTTCGGAAGGCGTGCGCCCAGGTCCGGCAAGTGTGCCCGAAGCTCATCCCAATGGACGGCTTGTGGTGTGATGTATGCCATCAGCTTGCGTGTTCTGGGGCGCGGCTGCTCTTCCGTCCATGGCGTCTCCAGCTCGACAGGGCTATGGTCGCACCCGTTGGTGCACAATTTTTCGACCTGTGCCTTCCCACGAAAGCGCCAGCCTGGTGCCATTGGGGCCTCGACAGAACGAAGCCCGCAGTTGGGACAAAAACTCCAGGATGGAACTTGCATCCACTGGCCCAAAACATCCAGACCGGTTGGGAAGTTCCTGGGTTCCCGTCCGGCTGCTTGCAGCAGGCCAAAGGTCTGGACAGCCTCGGCTTTCCAAGCTTGCGCGGCCAAAGGCGCGTCTCGCCTGACCGCCCCATAGAAGGATTCGTGTACGCCACATGTTTCAACCACAGATTGCCGCGTGTGCCCGGCAAGTATCAGGCGGATAGCTTCTAAGTGAGAAGCTAGAGACTCTTCTATTGCCCGAGGTGCTTGTTGCCAATGTGCCAGTGTTCGTTGTGGCACCCCAAACTCCTTGGCCAGGTGTGCTTGCGACTGCTGCCTTGTGCTGAGCTCGTCCAGACAGTGTTCTAACCTTTCCGGCGTCAAAGCTACCATGCCCTGCTTGAGTGCAATGTTGTATCGCCCCCAAGGACCGTGGTAGTAGATCTCCTCCGCCACTCTTGCGGGGGTTTGTGCACCGCAGCTGTTGGGACACGGTTGTCCGGCCACTGGTACGCCGAGCCAACCACAGCGGTCGCAGCGCCGCAGCCTGCCTTTGCCTTTCTCCTCCGCCTGCTCCCTGGGCTGCTCCTGTGGTGCTTCCTCTTCTGCCACTGGCGCTGCCGATCCAAACAAGCCAACTGGTAGAGGTGCTTCTCCAGGAATGACTGGCGCAGCGGCGGCCCTCCCCACGACCTCCAACAGCCCAGCCGCCGCTGCTGGACGCTTGCGGCCTGGTTTGTCTCTTGGCTTTGGCGTGGCTGATGTGGGCGCCGGTTCTTCCAATACCTCGGGCATGTGTGCTCGTGCAAATCCGCGGGGGAGCCTTGCTAACGCCTCAGCGCGTTGTGCTGCCCCGGCCATGCGTCCCAAGGACTCCTTCAAAAATGCCCGGCCGCCTGTCGTGCCACAGACGACGTTGAGGAGGACCGGGTCCTGCAGGCCGAGGCATGAGCGGGGGATGTCGAGGACCTGTGGAGATTTAATGCTATGTTGGTCTGTTCGTATCGGACTGGAGGTGTATACATTCTTTTATCTGTTCTCACTCTTTCTTTCTGTGTGTCTCTATTTTTTAAATACTTATGGGTGGAATACATATATATGCATCTATAAACATATAAAGGATATATATATATATATATAGATGTCAATTGCAAATGTGATATCTGCAGCCGAGGCACACACCAAACGCAGCGGTCATGACCCGACTGTGGTTGCACCGCTCCACCGGAAGAGCTGAAGATGCAAGGAACACCTTCTTGCAGGCCACGGCAAGCGCGCGGCATGGCAGGCGCGCTCAATGATGCTACCGGCTAAAAGAAAAAAACCGTTTGACTGTGTTGCTCCTCTTGCCGTCTTGTTGTTGCTGTCTATAGCACTGTTCAACTCTAGAGCCATCGGTATACGACCGGATGAGCCACCCTCCTTGCCTCGCCTGCTTGTGCGTCTGTACCAATGCAACATGCCTCAGACCCTACTCCTTCTTTGCTTTGTGGCTGCCAACTTGACCCCTTGCGCGTGAGACACGCAAGCCTTTTTAACCTGGCGCGGTGTCTGCAATCTTTGCGTTTACGGCTTTGTGCACGTAAACCAACAAAAACCAACGTGAGCCCTACGTCCAGCACTCACACGGCGCATCTGTATCCCTGCGCCCGGGTGCTGCCTCTAGAGGCGACGTTCTCCTCAGACGAACAATCCGGTGGTGTCCGGTGCTGCGGATCCGGCTGCGCGCGGCGGCTCACTGGTCTTGTTCCTCTTCACGGCAGCGGCTGCCCACGCGGCCTCGTTCATGGGCTTGTGTTGGACGGCGGCGCGGCAGGTTTTCTCGGCAACGTGGCCTGCGAAGAACGCGCCGTTGCCGGCCATGAGGGCAAGCATGGCGCGCAGGGGGGTGTGCTCCTTCTTCAGCCACTTGTGCACCTCGGCGGCCGCTTCCTGGATCTGTTGGTCCGTGCACGGGGCCGCTGCGGCGTCTTGGTCCACCTTGCGCTTCTTCAGCTGGGCAAGGCTTGGCTGCTGCGCGCCTTCCTGGCTGCCCTTGCCTCGATTCAGGCGTTCCAGGTGCGGCTTCAGCTCCGCCGCTTCGGCCAGTGCCGTCCCCAGCGGCACTTCTTTGAGCAGCTTCTTCATGTCATCTGACTCCAGCACTTTGATGGCCGACAGCAGGGCTTCGGCGGAACGGGACACGCCCACGCCCTGGCGCCACGGCTCCTCTGAGGCCAGCTCCGTGTGGAAGGCGACGCGCTTGCTGCCCTTGGCCGCTGCACGCCACACGGCCTCGGTCGTCTGCTCTGTGAAGGCGCTCTCGCCGTAGGGGTTGAGCATTTGTGCAGCCACCGAGTCGTACCAGTAGAGCTTGACACGGCGGGCTTGGCCGGCCACCGTGCTGGCCTGTGTGGGCGATCCCGGCGCAGAGGCAGAGGCAGCGAAGAGGCCACGGGTGTCGGCGGAGCTCGAAGCCATGGTGCGCGGCAGAGGACGGTTCCCGGTTGTCGGCGCTAAGGTTTTGGATCAGTCTTGCTGCGGCACAAAAACATCACAACTGAGGCGAACCCAACTTCGCTACTGCAATGCATTCTACTCTAACTTGCAGAGGACAGAGCCCTAGTAGCCCTACACACGCCCATGACTGCATCGGTACAAGCTACACTTCCGGTGACAACATGTCTGTGTTGCTACTGTGTTCAACCGTCTCCGTGTGCAAAGGGGAAATGTGCAATGTGTAAACCATCCATGCAAGGCTCTTTGTTTTTCACCCACGCTTGTGCCTCAGTTGCAAAGACTTCCAGCGGCTCTTGCCCGCTGTGGCGCGCGCCGCCAAAAGTCGCTGGCGTAGATCTTGCCGAGCCGTCTGCCAGCATTGATTGCATCGCCACAGTGTTGCATTACCTCAAGCGTCGAAGCAAAGGAATGTTGACTGTTATATACCTTTGTGAACCTATGTATGTATGTATGTCTGTATATATAAATTATATATATATATATACATGTATATATGTTTACGTGTCATCAATGATCATGTCCTTCCAACATCGTAACACATGTCGCTGTTTGTATGACAAGATCATCTGAATCTGAACACTTGCTCATGATGATCCCAGACGCTGAAATCTTGCCAAGCATCTCATCCCGACCACCACCCCCTAAACATTAGGGACCTGTTGTCTTGAGGGGTTACAAAGCGCCATTGCGGCGCGACCCGCCGGAGGTGAAGAAAGGGGACCCCGAAAAGGAAACCCAAAACTTTTGGCGGGCCGCCGCCGCCGGGCGGCATACTATGTGTAAAGTGACTAATCCCGGCCCCCGCCGCACCCCCACTATATATAGGGCGGTTTCCCCTTGCGTCGGGGCTCCGGTCCTTAGGCTCTCGGTCGGGTCGTCCGGCGCGCCTCCGCTTGGCGCCCGCGGGCTTCCTACTATATAGGGTTCCTTCTCCTGCCCTTCGGTGCTTTCCTCGGCGGCGTCCGCGGGCAGCTGCCCGCAGGAGCTCCCCGGCGCCCGTCCGGGGAAGCAACTTTAAAAGGGAAAACCCTATTCCAGGAGGGTACCGTCCATTTTACGCGGGTACCGTCCGTTTTGCCAAAATGGACGGTACCCCCCCGGGGTACCGTCCGTTTTACCCTATTTCGGACGGTACCCCCAGGGGTAAAATGGACGGTACCTGCCCGGGGTACCGTCCATTTTGTCAAAACGGACGGTACCCTGGTAAAACGGACGGTACCCTGGTAAAACGGACGGTACCCCCGCAAAATGGACGGTACCCCCCCGGCCTGTCTGTCTGTCAGCCTGCCTGCCTGCCTGCCCCTGCCTGCCTGCCTGCCTGCCCGTCTGTCTGTCTGTCTGTCTGTCTGTCTGTGTGTCTGTCCGTCCTTTTGCATGGATGTATGTATGCAGGGCGGCATTTGTTTGGTTTTGTTTGCTTTGCACACCTCTTATGTACGTGTATGCATCGGGCTTCGTTGTCTGTGACAGGACAAGCAAGGTGTGAGGCATGCAGCAGCTGAATGAATGAAAAGGTGTATGGCACTAATGAAAAGGGAACCTTGGGCGGGTGGGATGTAAACATTTGTATATGTTGCATCGCATAATATCTCTCAATCATAATGAGCTTTAGACCCTTAACCCTAAACCCTAAACCCTAAAACCCTCAACCCTAAACCCTAAACCCTAAAACCCTAAACCCTAAACCCTAAACTTGACATAATATAATTTAATGTAATACAATTTAATATATTATAACTTAATTATTGTGATATAATATAATTCAACATGATATAGTAAAATATCATTTAACATAAATTCATGTTATGTTTTACAACATAATATTCAGATATCTTGATACTTGATATATATATATATATATATATGGACATTTCGATGCATTTGGGTGGCCAAAATGAACCGGGTTTCCAAAATCATGGCCCAATAGGCCCAACATGAGCACTGTCAGACACCAAATTTGTGGGGCACCAAAACCCTTCCTGCCCCACAAATATGGGAATATCTGGCCCAACATAGACCTACCAAAACCTCCATATGGCCCAACATGGGGCCAAACATAGGCCCAACATGGGCCCCAAATGGTCCAACACAAGCCCAAGACATGAAAAAGATTGGCTTTGGCAACCCGGTTCGTTTTCGCAACCCAGATATTTATAATAGATGTTTACATGTTATATACTTAATATATATTATTGTATATTTCATACTATTTCATACATACACATATATAATACTGTATTTTTATTTGAAATAGTTTGCAACGACTTGCACTAAAGCTGTGTGTGGATGGCACAATTACAATTTCAACTTGAATTCAAGGCGCAACTGCTAACAAGGTTGAAGCAGTGATGTTCAGTCCGAAGTCCGAAGTTCCAAGTTCCAGGCTCCAGGACTCCAGGCAATCCACTCACTCCAGGTTCCTTTTTTTTTCCACATGCATTGCGCCCTTTGCCCGATCTAAGGCAGGGATTCTTCGATGCAGGGGTGTTTTTCCAGACGATGGCATTGACTTGATCAAGCAGCTCTTCCGGAAACCGGTGCTCAGCGTGCACCACTTCATGGTCGCTCCAAAGGCTTGGTTGGTAGCAGAACATCTATAAGATGTGTATCTGTGGACTTGGACTTGGACATGACTTTGTGTCTAGACATTGGGTTCAGATTGGGTTGCGTGGATGCATGCCCTTGCCATTATTTGCCAATGACTTGGTGCTTGTGGCCCATGGCCCTAATCCTAATGCAACGGTTTGGTTGGGCAGGAGGCTGTGGAGGAAGAGCGGCTTCGCACTTGCAAAAGGCTTTGCCTACCTCCGACAACGCCCTTCAGCAAGCTCCTTCAAGGACAGAATATGGGGACATGGGCGCCGTGTTCAAATAGTTTAAAAGCTAGAGAGTTGATTTGATCCTGGACAACTTGCAAGTTGCACAAAGTGGATCCTCTTTCTTTTAACGCATCCACTTCCACTGTCCAAATCCAAGTCTTCTCCTGACTCTCCTCTGTCATCTGTCATCTGTCTGACTGTCCTCCCCTTTCCTCCTGAAAATCACTGATGCCTGGCAGGAAGCCAAGCTGCATGGCTGAAGGCATACAAAGGACTTCCGAAGCTGCAAGCCGGATGGAAGGCCAAGGAGGAGTCAGCCATGTGCAACCTCTGCCAGAATCCGTACAAGATTCCTGTGTGTGGCATCTGGGCGCCGGCGCTGCTTCGAGGTGGAAAACTCTGGGTGCTACGTCCAGGTCCACCAGAGAATGATGCAGTTGAAGAAAGGTGGCTTCTCCCCGATGAGCACCTCATCATCATGGGGATCCCACAATACGCTGCTCTCTGTGGAACTCATGACCGTCACCCCCACATCGGAGTTCAGCTGGCAGCAGGCGCAAAGCGAAGCCTGGCCGGAAATGTGCCTTGCTCAAATATCTCATGAGTCATCGTGATTTTCGGAGTCATGAGTCATGATCTCCTTTATCGTGCACAATTCTTTCACACACAACTTTCTCACACACAATTCTTTTATTCATTGATCCTTCACCATCACCATCTCCTTTGTCTTTCCTGCTTTGTCTGTCGGTCCTTTAATTTGATATGTGTATGTTTTTTTTGGTGTGTTCATTGAGTTATTTTTACGTATGTTTTGCTTACAACTTGTGAGTGTGTGTGAGAGAGAGAAGGAGGGAGAGAGAGAGAAGGGAAGGACAGGGAAAAAGAGTGAAAAGAAGGAGAAACAAACAGAAAGAGAAAGCGAGAGAGAGAGAGAGAGGGGTTGACGGTTGACCATGTCATTGTTCTTTCAGAGAACTTCTGAATCCTGTGACCCTGAGGCCATGCATGCTGCAGTGATCGGTTCCTTTTGGTGCACTTTCGCTTGCAGTGCTTCTCTCCACCAACAGCAGCGCTGGCGAGATGGCGAAGAAGCTGTTTGTCCATGGCCCTCGTTCGCACCTATGGAGTGAAACCGCAGCCCAATGTGCGGTAATTTTCAAACTCGACTCGAGCAGCGACTTTGTCGTGGATGCAATGCCAGGGGATGCGCAAAACAAATAACTGGCGGCCTGGTGGCAGCCTGGGCCTCTGGGCGCTGGTGTGGTGAACGGTAAAATTTCCAATGAACTGTAACTGTGACTGTGACCTTTCTCAATGTCTCAACTTTTGTTTTCATGGGTATCCATTGGTTTGGAGCTTGGACCGCATTCCTGCTGAAAGATTGTCTTGGCATGCCTTTGCAATGATTTCACATGGGAAAGCCGCAAAGCATCTTGCTATTTTGCAATACGTTGAACTTGGCAGGCTGACGATTTGGCACTGAGTGCGGCTGAGTGGCTGTAGATTAGCAGCGTTCAAACTTTGGCTTTTGGTAGTCATGTCAACCAGAGCTTGGGGCGAGTGACCCTCCCAACGGGTCTTGAAACTGGTATGTTTGGTTTCCACTTCGGGCAGAGCTTAGATCAAGTGTTCTTGCCAACCATTCTTCAAACAGTGACTTTCGGAGTGTTTACTTTACACCAAAGCTTGGCTTGGAGCGAGTGACAGTGCCAAGTGGTCTTCAGACATTGGCTGTTTCAGAATTTCCACTAGGGCTTCGAGCAAGTGACACTCCAAGCGGTCTGCAAACATTGTCTTTTGGTTTTCAAGTTTCAAGTTTTGATGTTTGGTGTTTGCTTCAACCAAAGCTTGGAGAGAGTGACACTGCCAAGTGGTCTTCAGACTTCAGACATTGGCTGTTTCAGAATTTCCACTAGAGCTTCGAGCAAGTGACACTCCAAGCGGTCTGCAAACATTGTCTTTTGGTTTTCAAGTTTCAAGTTTTGATGTTTGGTGTTTGCTTCAACCAAAGCTTGGAGAGAGTGACACTGCCAAGTGGTCTTCCAAGATTGACGGTTAGTGGGGTTTGAGGCAAGTGACATGTCCAATTGGCCTTCCAACTTTTCCAACATTGTCGTCGTTTTGGTTTTTGAATGTAGGCAC